GAATCAGATCAGTTATATTTTTTCTCCCGAAAAAGGCTAAATATACAATGTCATACAATTTTTTAAATTTATTAATTTAGTTCCGGTCGTCGCATGTGAAGATCGACGTTTGTCTCCTAGACGATCCTCAGACGTTCAGACGGATGGAACGTGTTGGACGATCCAAACACATTCAGACGAACTTAACTGAGCCAGACGTCGAACTTTTCATAAACCTAACTTACTAAGTTTGATTCGTCTCATGAAAAGTTCGACGTTTTGCCTCGGCCTTATGTCGCTTTTCAAAAGCCAGAACTTGCCGGTCAGACCGGTCATTTTCAAAATGAAACATTAGCCTTTTCTCCAAAATTTTACTTAACCCAATAACTGCCCTGTATACCATTTCAGAATAGACTGATCTGGCGGAACAGTCCTGATTAATAGTAAAAATCTCCTCACGATAGGACTGGTCTCGCCAGCAAGTTCTGACAACGGGAAAGCACCCTTAGTAAGACTCAAAATAGCTGTAAAGCCGCCTCTCTCGACAATCTGTTTTCCTTTTTCTTTACTTTAATCTTGTAAAAATTCCTGGAAAGGTTTTACGATTTGTACATTAGCTTACATTGATTTTGTTTATTTGTTGTTTAACAGACATTGATGAACTGCCTTGCATTCTGGAAATCACTTCAAGAGTACAATGCATATTTTTTTGCTGATGCGCTAAATCCTTCTCTGCTTTCAAGAAAAGCAAGGGTATGTTCACCTTTCTTTTCTGGGCCTAGTTACACAAACCTGTTTTCCTTTGGCAATATACGCAACTAATTGGCGACGCTTTTCAAATAGAACCTATTCAAAACCATGCTTTGGTCTCCCCTGGTAGATCATACAACCTCTCTTTTCTATAGTCCGTCATCCGAATTTAAGAGGAACCTCCACTTCAACGAAAAGATAACTTTAAATCACAGGAAATAACTGTTACAGTCAAGTCAATCTAAAATATTTTTAAAGAAAACGTTTGTATCCGAAAGAAATAACTTTTAGATTCGCCTATTTTTGTTTTCAAATTTTGCGGGCGTCGCCATCTTGAATAATTGTGACGTGTAATGGTTGCCCTATTGTTATTAAACAAAAGCTCTTTGTGTCAGAACAATAGAGCAACCGTAACACGTCACAATTATTCAAGATGGCGGCGCCCGCGAAATTTGAAAGTGAAAATTAGCGATTTTAAAATTCACTTTTCCTGATATAAACACTTTTTTTAAGACAAATTTCGAACAAATTTGTTTATCAACATAATTTTATTCGATTTAAACTTATTCTGTAGTAAGAGTGGAGGTTCCCTTTAAGAGGGAAGAAAATGGCCACACGAGCAAATGGAGGCGAACGCTATCGCCTCTTGCGTGTCACAATCTCACCGCTTTTGTCTCGCATGTTATGCGTGGCGAAAAATGGAAAAGGTCGATAATACTTCAGCATTGAACGTAGCCTCGACTGACAGATCACCAGACTAGATCCCTAAATTACAGTTTTTGTTTGTATGTTACAGACAATGTATGCTAATTTCGTGGTGTCGGGCAGTGGGCAAGAGGTTCACGTAAGTAGTGACATTCAGACGCAGGTGCTTAAAGAGCTAGAGCCGCCGTTTGAGGAACTCTTTGATGCAGTGGAGGAGCATGTACTTCAGTCTTTGTTGGAACCATGGAATATGCTCATTGCCCAGGAGAAAAATCAGTACAAAGATGAGGTGAGAATAACTGAGCTTACTATCATGCAAAAAAGGGCAAAACATCTGCATTTTGGCGAGCAACTGTGTTTGTAAACACGGTGCAGTGTTAATGTAAAAAAAGTAATGCATTCCACTTTTTACGCCAAAAAGAATCGACTGGCAAAATCCTTCATAATTGGTTCCTTTTAAGCCGGCGTATGTATGGAAAGTACCCCCTCCCCACCCGTGAATAACGTTGATTACAAACGCTAAACCAAATAAAATCTAGACTAGATTACGGTGATATAGTCTCTTTAAGAGTTATTGGTCTGGCCCTAGTTACTCCAATATTGGTTAGCGCGATCCACCGGCGGATTAATCACTATCCAGCGGATAAGTATTGGGAAACCAATTGTGTTATCCTGTGGAGAGAGATTTTTCCAGTAGCCTGTTCCAGGCTCCTATATAGTCGGGTACGCGAAATTGAGAAAGCGCGAACACGAAAATAAGCAGTTCCTTTTCCTCGCCTCCGCCGCCTCCTTTTCCCAGATCGCGCGTTCATATTTTTTCGCATGCCTTTTACTTACGCGTCACCCCTACTATCTGAGAGCCTGTAACAGGCTATTTATTTAGTGGAAAGCGTTATCCACATTTCGAACAACTGTTCCGGTGAAGCTCTGTCATCGCGTTGATTTCTTAAGTAAGTTAACTTCGCGTTGTCTTTCCCCAGCGAGTCGTTTGAGTGGGAATATAGCACAATTCATGGGTGAGTCAAGTCCCGGGGAGTGGTTTTGTCTCGCTACAGAAGCAGGGTGCCCCTCAGCTTGTGAGTCCTTTGAATCTTAACAGTCTTCTGAGTTAACTGTTTTATCACTTCAGGTTCGTACCGAACAAAGACTGAGGCATATAGAAATCCAAGTGACCGCACGACGAAGGCAAAGCATCGTCCATACTAATGGAGGGGTAAGAAATTTATTTTTGTGATCAGAATCAATTTTCCCATTTTGATACTTGGTTATGGTCTTGAGAATAAAGAATTTAATCATCCTGGATAAAGTACCTCGCTAAAGAAAATGGTTTTCAAACATGCGACGTGCGATGGAGGTAGTTGTATTGTAAGAAACACACAAATGGCACTTCAGAAAGCACTAGGCATGGCTTTTTGTACATCTGCGCTACTTCCCTTTCCAGATAAATGGGACGACGACGTGACAAAGGAATTGGTATTATGAGCAAACAACGGCTCTGCATTTGCATCACGCTTTTTATTACATTTCTTTGGCTAAGACGAGGAACTTTCTGTTACGTTTTGTTATTGAGACGATAAATTCTCCTTTCTCCTTTTGAATCTGGATAAAGTCCTTTTAATTCTTAAAGGATTCAACTACTGGGAAAATCTCCAGTATTTGACCAATCGAGTGGGTCTACAATAAAATGTACGCAGTTCTTTTTATGCTACATGTTTTAACTGCTTAATTAGGTGTCCCCTATTACCGGAGGGTTTTCCCTCCTGCTAGATAGTTTACGGACAAGTTAATAAAGTTCGTTCGTTCGTTCGTTCATTCATTCAGTCAGTCATTCAATCAGTCTGTCAGTTAGTCATTCATTCATTCATTCATTAAGTAAAGTTTGAAAGAATGGGAGTTTAATTTTTTTAGTGACGTGATAGTTGCAGTGCACCAGTTATACTGATCAGTCTTCAAATAAGATTGTTTAATTTTTGTTGGTTTATGAAACTGTCTTTTAAACTCCATGCAAGGAACTGTGAGTAGCCCCACCTTTTAGTTAACCAAGTACTGTACCCTCATGCAGACGCATTGCTTTCTCTCTTTCAGCTTGGTAATGCTGAAGAAGACCACGAAAAGGAGCGGATATCAGTGGAGGAAGCGAACAGACCACTTCCGGTACCGAAAGACGGCGTCACATTTGAATCACTTATAAGGAACAGGGAAGAAGTTGAACATTTTAAAGAGTTCCTAAACAAAAAGCATGCCAGAGGTAACTGTTGACTTTATTGTTTTCTTTTCTTTTTTCTTTCTTTTTTTTTTACGTACGTTCTAAAATTGGATTCGCTCCCTGCAAAAGTACGTTTGTGAATATCAGTATTCTCTATCTCAAAACCTTAGTAGGTGGGTTCACACTAGGCCCTAAGTGTACTTGAAAAGTACTTGAAGTACCCTAAAGTTTTTGGTAAGAGATGAAGTAATCGAAGTACGGGAAACTTGCTTTGATCATCTTAAACCCTCCTCGACAATCTTTTGTGTTCGTTGCTTCAAGTGCTTTTAAACACTTAAACAAAATCGTATTTCAGATTTTGCAGGCTTTTTGCTTGAGGTAAGAAATAAAACGCTTTTAAGTAACCGCGTTTTATACTTGTCGTAAATTTCACTCCAGATTCTTCCTCTCTTTTTTGCCGATGAGCGCTTTTGTTGTTCTTTCTTTGGTCCCCTTGCTACCAAGAGCTCTTCTGTTTCTTCCCTGGTCCAGTCTGCACTTTTTTGGTTGTTTGAACTTCTTTGAGTAGTTGTAGTGTTCTTCTGTGTCTTGTTTGAGTCGAGAGGTTGACTCATGTCGTAAATTATGACTACTTAGCACTGCAGATGGACACGAAAAATTGGCCTGAACGGTTTGAAATTAAGAATAAACTGCATCCAACGAATCGCAAAACGCGGAAGCCGCTCTTCGTGGAACATATGTCATTTCGTTTCCATGGCCAAGTCTTCAATTTACGTTGCCGAACCAATTCGTGAATCAAAACTGAGAAAAACCTGCTTATATTTCGAGAAGATCAGTATCTCCATTGCTTGTGAGAGTGAAAACTGCGGCTGCACGTGCAGTGTTTTAAACGTATGGAGTTTTTTTTATTTCCGTGGCCGCACGATGCGGTCAGATGTGTTTCGTTTGGGCAATGTGGGCTTGCCAGGAACGTATCATGTTAGAGCGGTAAAATCTTGTAATTCGTATAACTTGACCGTAACTTGAATTCTCATTTCGATTCTGTTCTTCCAGTCCAATTTCTGATATTCTTTTCCCTTACATGCTTGCAGGCCTCAAAGATCTTATGGCGTGGACAGACATGGAAACATTTCGCCGCGTTCCTCGCTTTATGGAAGAAAAACGTGACAAGAAAGCCAGGGAAATCCGAGAAAACTGGCTCGGCAAAAAGTACTTTTTTGGTCCCGACAGCCCGGCGACTAGAGAAGGACGAAACTTGGTAAGTAATCGGTCACGCGGAGTGAGAAAATAAAACGAATAACTCAAGAATAAAAAAATAGATTTTCCAAGCTTTTTAGGTTGAGCCGTTTTCCCCTCTGTTCCGTAGATTATGGACCTTAATGGCGGCCGACCGATTAAAGAGCGACCCGCGTCACCTGTTATCCTCGAAAGCCAGAAGTTTGTACGCGCACGCATCGAGCGGCGTTGGTTAATGCTTTTCAAACAGACCGTAGAATTCCTCGAGAGACAGAAACCCAAAGTTGCAACGGTTCCAGAAATGGTGGAGGATATAATGCTCAAGAGAAGACTTCAGCGGAGCGAGGCTGCTTGGAAGGTAAATATATCTTTTTTTGCGAACGTAGGCGCTTTTTTTCGTCATTTGGAACGCTGAGGAAAACTATGTAGAGTTCGTGAAGAGTGTAATCAACAGGGTGGGTCAGACAATTTCTTCAACGTGGCCAATTTCCAGCTACACATCGTACCATTAGCCAATCAGAGCATTTGTTTTATATTTGGCTATTGCGTAATTTTTTATAACGCTTATTTTTTTCATTTTTATTTTTCTCTGACGTAGATTCTTAATAGCAGATGGGTCTCATCGTCACGTGACGTGGTGGCATTACGTCAGACCCTTTTAAATCCCAGCAGCTGTAGCGAGTTTAGTGCGTTTGTCGCAGTTAAAGGAGACACACTGGAAAGTAATGTTCAGTTCTGGCTTGAAGTGCAGAAATTCAAAGTAAGATATATGCACGTGTTTTGTATAATTAACTGCACTTTCAGGTCGCGTGACAAGTGACGAAACATTCCACCGTTTCTTAGTGTCTTAGGGAGTTAAAGCAGAGACGTTTCTGAGTGACGCACGTAAACCGGAAGTGAGCCGTTTTCTCTTTTAATATGCCTTGACGCTACTAAATTTGTATGGCTAGGTGTTTTTACGCTTATAGAGACGATTTGACCAAACATTTATTCAAAATCACGGCTCAAGAGTGCAAAAAATCTACTTCCGGTTGACGTGCGTCGCTCAAAAACGTCGCTGAATATTCAGTTTTTTTTGACAGCTTATTTCGAGGTTCGTTAGTGACAACACGTGTGTAAATGTCACGAGTTGTATCGTATGACTTCCAGCTCAGTTAGCACAGCTCTTTAACAGTTTAAAAAAATAGAAGCCAAGATGCGAAATTACTTATTTTATGCGATATTTTTAATCTCTAAGATGAGCTTTGACTTGTTCCAACATTCCATTTGTACACTTAGCTTGTAACCTATATAAAGTGCTGCTTATTTTGTCTCATGAAAGGTTTGTGTTTCACTTGCGTCTCAAGTAGTGTGCACACATAAGCATTAAAGTTTCGTCCTTTCCAGCTGTGAAACTCGTAAACTACAATCTGATACTCTCGTATGTTCTAACTGTTCTCCTGCCCTTGGTGGGCTGTTCGTGTTAGCTTGTGTTACAAGGTTATATTGTTGTTTATTTGTTTCTGACTGTGGTATATGAACATTACAGGATTTGTGCCACGCACATGCCCTGCCAGCTCTGATCCAACGTAAAGTACAGACCATTATAGATTGTTTCCTGAACTCGGCGATTGCACCTGAGTTACAGATCGATATACCTATTGAGATGGCCGATAAGCTTATGGAAAGGCTGTCCGGGAGGAATCCTTCTCTGCATCCTTATGTCTTCAGAGAAGCACAGGTAAGGAGTCGGCATTAGCGACCTTAAGATCCGATGACGGCGACGGCAACAAGAACGTCAAAAAAGCAATAGGTTTAATAACCAAAACAATTTTGCACGTGCATCACGCTTTTTTGTACATTTCTTTGCCGACGCTGCACGACTAGGACGTGCTGAAGTGCCTAATTTCACGTTTTACAGAGGAAGTACACAAGCAGCGACGAAATTTCTTCTCTCTTTCTGAACTTGGATATGGTTCTTAGGAATTCAACTTTAGGAGGGTTCACCTTCATTTGACAAAGTTAGTGACTTGGAGTAATCGCGATGAAGATTGAAAGAAGGCGAATTCACTTTTTCAGCGACCTTTTCGCTGCCATTGCCGTCCTCGGATCTTAAGGTTCCTATTAAAAACGAGAGGACGGTAAAGATTTCTTTTAAGCAATTCAGACAAGCAATTCAATGAAAAAACTTGGATGGAAACAGTGACACCCCGAGGTGCTTGTAACCAGTGCCAAGAGAACAGGGAACGGTTGCTAATGGCGGGAAAACTTGTAATCCACACCAAAGGCGCGAAAACATGTCACGGGTTCCAAGCGCGGAAAAAAAAAACAAAAGTTGTCAAGAACCGAGAACGTTGGTCCAGTTCTTTGGTGGTGTTAGTTCACTTGCAATGTGTATGTATGTTCTACCTGGTTTTTAAGGAAGCTCATTGAATTTTTCGAATTCATTCATTTTTGCCGTGTTCAAATGAAAATGTGCGCGCATATGGTTTGACATCTGCTAATATCGTTCACACAGGTCTCCAATTTTCCCAAAGAAAGGAAACTTTAGAAATACAGTCTTCTTCGCGATCGCACAAATGTATTGTTCTTTTCGTTTTTCAGATGACAGTATTTCGAGTTTTGTTTAACCACTGGAAGGAGTTTGTGACTCAGCGGAGCAAAATCCCCGAAGGTGTACATCCTCGAGAACATTTCAAAGAGCTACTGAGCAGGCACAGAGCAGATACGAAGTCCAAGAAAGAGGCCAGTGAACGAAGGAGGCTGGCGCGTCTCAGTGCAGAGAGAAAAAAGAAAGAGAAGGAAGAAAGAGAAAAGAAACGAATTGAAGATCTTGCTAGGTGGGCAAATAGGTCATGTTAAGGTTGTGAGTAAGACTGGGTCGGGGTTGTGCGGAAGTGCATCATGGGACTGTTTTGAAGACGCTATTGCTTCTTCTATCGGTTGTTACGGGGTTGCACAGGATTCTGGGTCAAAATTCTTTTTTTTTTTTTTAACGGACGCTATCGCTTCTTTTATCGGCCATTACGGGGTTGCGCAGGATTCCAGGTCAGAATTCTATTTTTTTTTTGTAACGGACACTATTGCTTCCGTTATCGGCTATTACGGGGTTGCGGAGGATTCTGGGTCAAAATCCTTTTTTTTAAAAAAATGGTCCCACAGTCCAATTCGACAGGATACCAATTCAGTCTCACGCGTATTGCAAGCGGCCAATACATCAGTTCTTTCAGTACTGGATCAGAACAACGGAAGAGATGAATAAACAAGGATGGCAAGCTTATTAAGGTCCTTGATATAACAGAGGCATAGTGGCAGACGCATTCACTGCCGCTTCGCTCTTCGTTATGTTATAACAAGTTAAAAGACCCTAATTAAACCAGGGCTCCAAAAAAGTGCCTTTCGGTAGTCTAGGACAAGAAGAGTTTGGATCTTTACACGTTTCTGGGAAACTGCCCACCTACCCCTCCCCTAAACCAACATTAACACTTCTCACTTAGGGCAAACGCACGTAGCTTTTGAAGCTTGCTCAGTGCCCAATGGCCAAAGGTCCTTGCAAGCCATCTTCTAATAATACCTTTAACTAAGTCGAGCAAGAAATGGCTCGGACATGGCTGGACCTTTTATTTTGATTTTAACTTGTTTCAAAGCATCATTTTTATATGAATACTGTCGCAAAACTTTTAATGAATATTTTAGGAAGCATGTTTTTCTTAATTTTATACCACATTAGTCATTCCAAGTAGTTACTTTGGTAGTATTTTAAATAGTGTCCCCTATTAGTAGGCTTTAAACAGGCAGCTTGAAGATTTCTTGACACTTAAATGAGGCTCATCCTTATCATCATCATTTATAGTTTGTTCAGTATGGAAACCGCTTCCATTTTCTACTCCGAAGAGGATGACCTACGATCGTGGTTTTACTCTAAGCATTTGGTTGAACAAGAACGCCAAGAACACATCAAGAGACTCAGAGAGCAAGGAATTATCATCCCGGAAGAAGAACTTGTAGAGGAGAAAGGTGAGCCTACCATGTTTTAGTTTTGTGCTAAAAAACTTATATTAGTTAATCTCAGTCAGTTTTTTAGCCTGCGAGCAAGCTCTCCAATTGTGGCGAACTAAGCGAACCGCCGAGAGAACGCACGAGCGAGCGGCGTCTCCTTTCGCATGACGACTCGCTATCCCCCCAAATATGGAGAACTTGCTTGCTTGCTCTCAGGCTAACCGTTTTTAAGCAGTGACTCAAAAATTGGGGGTATGGGAAAGAGGCAATACAAAAAAGGCAAAACAGGCAAAGGCGCACTCGAGCCAGAGGCCCAAACGGCCGAAGCTTATACCGGTTTCCTTAGCATGAAGTTGCCTGGGAGTATTGCTACTCCCCCCTGGACGGGATGCTTGTCTATTGCGGACGGGCGAGGCTCGAACCCCGGACCTCCAGATCCAGGGTTCGAGGTGTTAACCGCTCCGCCACACACGCGTCCACCAAAAAGCCTTCTTTTTTACTCTTTTTCTGTTGTTTTTTCAAGTTTTTTATATTAGCCAATCATATGTATCGATTTAATTGAAATTAAAAATTTTGAAAACGTTCACACTTTTCTAACTACTTTTCCTGTGCGCCTGCCCACCTCTTAGGGGACCATTACTTAAAAAGGGTAGCTTCTGAAAATCCGATCCCCAAACTTTCCTTTTAGAGAGGCCTTTGTAGAAAGATTTTATTGAGACCAGTGCTGGACAGGATAAGCTACTTATTGTACGCCTATTTTTGAATTAAAATGAGAAATAATCCCATCTCGTGTTTCAAGAAAGTGACATCTTTTCTTTTGGTCTCTTCGGTAGAAGAAACAAAGAGCAGAAGATCACGTGTGTCTATGGCGAAATCCTCCATACTTGGCAAGAAAGGTATGAAATTGTCCTTTTTTAAAACGTATAACGTACGGGCAAGAAAACAATTTAGGAGGTTCGATAACTTATCCGTCAAACATCGGGCCTACAACCCTCATTAACTCATAGTTGACTTCCTCTACTTTCTTATTTATTTCAGTTCATGAAGCTCTAAGTGACAAGAAAAGTAGTGAAGGTACGACTGTTAGAGGCCTGTAAATACAGTCGACTCCCGATAACTCGAACCTTTTAGGGAAATCGAAAAAGTTCGAGTTATCGAGTTAGAAGATAAGCAAGTGGGTGGGGAGGCAGTGCAAGTATCATGCACACTTCAATTCAAGGCAGCAAGAGATATATGAAATATTTAGGAAACTGAGAAAAAGTAGGAATTAAGCAACAAAGCTTGATCAATATACAGGACTGGACAAATAGCAAAAAGGCAAAGAATACACAGCTGTTTTGAAATAAATTTAATGTTTCCGACTACAATACACTGTTTTTTTTACCGAGGGTAAAATTAAATGGAAATAATCTGAAGGGAACCAAAATTACCGTACTTTGAGTTAGCGGGAGGTTCGAGTTGTCGAGGGTTCGAGTTATCGCGAGTCAACTAAATGTTTTACTTTGAAAAGGATATGTCTCTGATCAGTTCACCAGTACAGTAAGAAACCCGCTGCACAGCTCACGTTTCGTAATGCAACTCACATTTTTAACGTGCAAGGGTGTCGCGTTCTTTAGCACTCTTCCTAGTGATTCTCTAAATTTTTATGTTCTAACTAGTGTCTTAACGTCACTTCCCACGTCTTGTATTTTCTTAGGTTCTTCAAGGAGACTCCAAGCAAAGCTTCTAAAACCCAACGCTAATGGTCAACTGTTTACCTCGTTGGGCAGGCGCAGTTCTGTAGTTTCTACCTCTGTGTCGGTGACTCGCCGGAACTCTGGAGTGTCATTGGCGCTTTCTCGCAAAGATGAGAAAGTTAGCACGGTTACCTCCGTGAAAGAAGAAAAGATTACCGAGAAATGTGATGATAAGGATCTTTCCCTTAAAGACACAAAAGAAGTAAAGCAAGCGGAAAGAAAGAGCCCGGAGATTCAAGTTATTCCGCTACTGTCACCTGAAACTACACAACAAACCGCTCAAGAACGAAAGCTGCTACCGCAGCGCTCACGGAGCTCTAAGCGACTGTTATCAAGCAAGCAGCCACCCAAGTCTGCAGGGACGAAACCAGTTCCACTGGATGCTATTTCCTGCATTAGTGACTATAGCATTTTAAGTAACATTGAGTTTGCACCACGGCCAAGGACCACGGCAGGGAAAAATGGCCACAAGGAAGCCGGAACCTCTCTACTGACGTCAAAATCTCTTAAGGACTTCACAAATTCCCCAGAAGGTAAAACTGCAGGTTTTCTTTATTTCATCCACTGATTTTACAATATTAAATCAAAACAGGCTTATTTAAGTGGTAAATTAATCCACTGCTGCGGTTGACATTGACCGCGGCCGAGTGATTGACAATAGGCCATTTCCGAGGTTCCCCTGGGCCTCTGTATCAAAACGAGGTTAAGTGCTCAGCTTTTGATACGGCAATGATTTTTCATTCTTGTGCAAATAAAACTCATTTTCACAAGAAAAATCGTGCACTTGGCCTCGTTTTGAAAGTGAGGGTTTTTGGAACTCGGAAGTGGCCTATTAGAGGAGAATCGTAGTTTCCTCGACAACTGTAAGATCTGGAAGATAATCGCACAGTTTTTGTTAAAATCGCTATTCTCCATTCTATCAGAAAGCCATAAAGAGTTGTTCTCTACGATGGCCCAGGAGGGTCACAGTCCAGTATTGGTTTTTGACAGTTCAGTTTTGGTTTTACACAGTCCAGTTATGGTTTTACACAGTCCAGTTTTAATTTTTACACAGTCCAGTTTTATTTTTTACACAGTCCAGTTTTATTTTTTTACACAGTCCAGTTTTATTTTTTTACACAGTCCAGTTTCATTTTTACAGTCCAGTTTTATTTTTTACACAGTCCAGTTATATTTTTTTACACAGTCCAGTTTTATTTTTACACAGTCCAGTTTTAATTTTTACACAGTCCAGTTTTATTTTTTACACAGTCCAGTTTTATTTTTTTACACAGTCCAGTTTTATTTTTACACAGTCCAGTTTTATTTTTTACACAGTCCAGTTTTATTTTTTTACACAGTCCAGTTTTATTTTTACACAGTCCAGTTTTATTTTTTTACACAGTCCAGTTTTATTTTTTGTGTGGTTACCAGACCTCTCTCGCGCTACTGCAACACTTGTTATCTAACGGCAGCCATTTTGTATTTCCGTGCGACGATGGATTCAATCATCAGGCGGGCTGTTCGAGAGGAACTGAGACGTTCAAGTTCTAGTGGTCCAGAAACTGCGTCTTCTACTAATCAAGATGATCAGGGAAGAAGTGAAAACAAATCAGATGCGGCTGGATCATCACGAAGTCCGTTTTCATCACGAACAGTGGGCCGATGTTTCTTAAACGAAGACCCAAAAACGAAGACCCAAGACCCCTTGGACTAAAACGAAGACCCCTGTGGATTAAATGAGATGTGTTTACGGTGATGATGACATCAGTTTTGTTTAAATAAAAATTTTTCACACTATGTACATTCGAGAAAGCTTTCGTAGTCTTGTGGTAACGTCCTTGCGTGCATCGGAAGGTCTCTCGGGATCGAATCTTGCCAAACGGAAGTATGTTTTTCCTTTCCTTTTTTTTTTCTTTCATTTTTATTTTGTTATCATTATAACAACTGCTTGAGCCGTAAAAGATGAGTCATTTTTTACAATAGAGGTCAGAATAAAGTAACAGGGATATAAATATAACCCGGTATGTATACGAATGAACCTTGCTTGCATGAAACACGAAACTCTTTACTCGAGTGATGTTCTCGATATCGACGGCTTTTTGTTCTATTGATGAGGTTAAAAGTAATAAAAAGAGCGCGAGGTTCCCCTCTCCTTGAATTCATCATTGCTAAATGTCTCGTTATTCCCTCCTTACGCCATGGTCATTTATTTTGTTTTGCAAATGTATTGATCGATACAATTGTTCGACATTTTGGAACGCTAGAGCACGCGTTATATTTTCTTAGCCGTCGATCGAAGAAAAGGTGGGTGATAGACTTCATTATTACAATTAAATAGCGCAGAGGAAATTCCACAACACTCCTAAATCGCCGTAAGAGTTTAATCCACAGGGGTCTTCGTTTTAGTCCAGAGGGTCTTCGTTTTAGTCCACGGGGTGTTAGGTCTTAGCCCGGGGGGTACTGGATATATCCTTGGGTATGGAGGTGCGGCCCGGCCCCGCCCCTTATACCCTGATCCTGTTTAAGACAAAAATCGCTGATTTTCCTACAAGTGTAAGACAGAATTTCGATTTTCATACCCTGTTTAAGACATTCGTAAAACATATATACGCGCAGGCTGTTTATCGTCCAAGAAAAGATACCCTGTTTAAGACAAAAATTGATAAAATCGATACCCTGTTTGAGACAAAAATCCCGAAAAACATACCCTGGCTGGCTGCACGTCCCCGTTAAGCCCTTACAAGGGAGTACCCCCGGGGTCTTGGGTCTTTGTTTTAGAAACACCCCAAACGGTCCACTGTTCGTGATGAAAACGGACTTCGTGATCCAGCCGCATCTGATTCGTTTTCACTTCTTCCCTGATCATCTTGATTAGTAGAAGACGCAGTTTCTGGACCACTAGAACTTGAACAGCTTGAACGTCTCAGTTCCTCTCGAACAGCATGCCTGATGATTGAATCCATCGTCGCACGGAAATACAAAATGGCTGCCGTTAGATAACAAGTGTTGCAGTAGCGCGAGAGAGGTCTGGTAACCACACAAAAAATAAAACTGGACTGTGTAAAAATAAAACTGGACTGTGTAAAAAAATAAAACTGGACTGTGTAAAAATAAAACTGGACTGTGTAAAAAAATAAAACTGGACTGTGTAAAAAATAAAACTGGACTGTGTAAAAATAAAACTGGGCTGTGTAAAAAAATAAAACTGGACTGTGTACAAATTAAAACTGGACTGTGTAAAAATAAAACTGGACTGTGTAAAAAAATAAAACTGGACTGTGTAAAAAATAAAACTGGACTGTGTAAAAAAATAAAACTGGACTGTGTAAAAAAATAAAACTAGACTGTGTAAAAAATAAAACTGGACTGTGTAAAAATTAAAACTGGACTGTGTAAAAACTAAAACTAGACTGTGTAAAACCATAACTGGACTGTGTAAAACCACAACTGAACTGTCAAAAACCAATACTGGACTGTGACCCTCCTGGGCCATCGTAGTTCTCATAGAATCAATTTTGTCGTATTTAGTGTTTGCATGTACCGAGGCCTTATTTTGATGGCGTGTATAAACATACTGCACTCAGTTATAAGAGAAAGTTGAGTTCTTTTTTAACATTTCCAGGTGCTCAACTTTCAATGCCATTGCCGCTGGTCAGAATCACTTCAGCATCACACCTTGAGAAATCCGATACCGACGGCTCAATTGGTGACCCGTCACCTTTGTACTACAAACCACGACCGCTGACACAGAGCCTCAGAAAAGCGCCCATCAGACTGGGCTCGAGAAAAGGCCTGCAATTCGCCAAAGAAGATATGCAGATTATACCAGATGTCGAGGTTAACTAAAGGAACCACTTGATTTAAGTGAGGTCATGTGGCCTTGGACAATGTGGCAGCGGTTTTCCTCTATTTTGATGATCTTTGTTCTCTCTGCGAATAGTTTATCGTTCTTTCAATGTTAGGAAACTAATTCGTGTTAATTATAAATAAATTATCGTCGGCCATCCTTCGTCACAGCAACTTCGAGAATTAAAATTAAATAAGCTCTTGGGGCTGTGTGAGCTGCTTAAACCTGAACAAACAACTAACTCAGCTGGCGGCTTAATGCAGTTTTGTTCATTATCCCTGAGTTTAAGCGAGGAAATATGCCGCGACAATAATTAAAATGAAGTTATATTAGAGAAAAATAGCTTTTTCTTTTATGTAAGGAAATTTATTTATTTGAGACGTTTTGTTTAAGACAACAAAGTTATTTATTGCCCAAATAGGGCAAAATTTTTATTTTAGTTTATTTATTTATTTTTTCATAGCAATGATCCACAATCATTTAGATTGGAGATTTGACTGAAGCAGAAATTAGAGATGTACAGCTGATCTTGACTGTTTTTGTATGTAAATAACGATTTAGATTCCTTAATAAACGACTACTTGAAAGCAGAATGGGCGTTTTCTCCTCTTTTCTTTTCGAACATTTGTAAGGAGGGACGCCCCCGGCAAAACGATAACAAGTCGCGTATTTGAATGTGGCACCTATTTGCCCTTTCCTAAAACGATTATAGGACCTTTGCAGCTAGCCATTCACGTGGCACAAAACCGTCATACTGGAGAGCACCGGGACAAGACAAATCAAGGCTTTCATAATTTTAAATGGTGATTTCCTTTTTTTTTCTTGTCCCAGTGCGACTTTTGCTTTCCAGTATGGCGGTTTTGTACCCTGTGGTTGGTTAGCTGCAAAGGGCCTATTGATCCCACCTTTCTTTGAATACCATTGTTAATTCTTTCTGCCATAAAGAAAGATCGCAGTGTACCAGGCTTAGTCCTTTCCATCCACTTGAAATAGCCTGTGAACAGGCTCTCTGTCTGGGGAAAAAAATAGCAAGGAAAGGGAAGGGAAGGGGGGAGAGAGCCTGTAGACACACGTTTGAGGCCGCTATTCCTCCCTCTTGTAATTATCTTGTCGAACATCTGTCAGCAAGATCGTTATCTGTCAATCAATTTCGCGCGTGAGTAACTCCTGGCAAAATTAAAGGGAAAACATCCGTGTTTTGCTTCGTCTCAAAACAAAGTGAAATGGACCGCGAGCCTAATTGTCGATTTTGAAAAAAATCGTTGATCTCCGGTAAGAGAATTAATACGGTGCCGGTCGTTGGCGTTTCAAGAAATAAGACCTTGCTGGTTGACAGTGGCCAAGTCAGCGTTGTACTAGCGCAAGCATTTGATTGCTCAAGATTTCCTCTTGTGCAAGGAGAAAGCTTTTCCGATTTAAGCTGCTTAACTTGTGCTCATCGCGCCGTTCGTCTTGCTAATCGATTTACTGTGGTTTTTGTCTCTGGTCGGCAGGATTTGCCCTCTCTGATGCAAGAGCATTTTCTTTGACCTCTTTTGAAGCGTAAAGCTTTTTATTGCGGCTGAATAAGGGTCGTACTTTTCTCCAAAGTGCCCTCTGGATCTGAATAACTAAGCGATTTTCTTTACTCTTTAGTCCGTAAATGTAATGTTTTTCTGAAATGTTGTATCACGCTGGGCCCAGGTCGTTAGTTTTCTTTGCAGAATGTTTAAAATGATCACGGATAGTAATTTACAGATCCAAAGTTAAAAGATTCAAGTGCAGCTTAAACCGAAGCTACATCAACTACGGAGAATTGCATTTTGACTCGGTAAACTCCAGCCTAGTGTTTTTCTATCCATTAGATAGTGTGAGTCTTTTGACTGGAGCGCGTAGTTCCTCCCTTGGTAATAGCTTTTGAACAGTCTTTGGAGTGTTTTGTTATTTCCAAACGCGTGTTACGTGCCCCGGACCGAAAAGCCGATGTCAATCAGACCTTTCAACAGTCAGTGTTCTCGCCAATAAGAACTTGCATCAGGATCTGATGCACAGCGGGTGCCGTGGAACGGCGGTCCCAAAGGCTTGTCCACAGGCCTTTTCGCTTTTCCCTCTCCCTAATTCCCCGCTCGACCAAAGGCCTGTTCACAAGCTAACTTGAAAGCGATGGTCACCCAACAAAACTCTGCTGTGTGGTCAGTCCCTTGGGCCTGCGCACAGCCAAAACACTCGGGTAGAGGCAGCCATGAATAGCGTGATAAGCCCCAGTAAGAGCGAAAGCTGGCCTACTCTGCCGCTGCTGTTAACACAGCTCTGGTCATTCTCGTCCCATTAGAACACGTGACTAAAAGAAACGACGTACGTGCGCTGGAGACGAGAATTGGCCTCACCTCGGACAGCGCATTCGTGAACATTCCTTTCAGATAGTTTATTAGTCCTTTGATTTAATTTCTAAATAAATTGTCCATAACCACTAAATCGTAACTTGATAACTTTTGGATTCACCTCTGGGAATCTCTGGTTTATTTTTACTTTTGAACAAGAGGGTTGATAGAATAAGTGAATACTGAAATTCATAAATTATTTTTCACTAAAAGCAAATCTCGAAATGTAGCAATTCACAAGGCCCTACAACCTTTCATTTAACTCCATTTCCTGTGTTCTTTATTGAATTCCGCCGTTACGGTGTCTCAACAAGGTGACAGCGGATGGAACAGGACTGACGTCCGATTTGATATCAACCCCAACATTACCCACCTAGTCCATGAAAAGGTGTACCACACCACCGGGGTCCACGCCCCCTACTCTTTGCGAACAGCAGCGTGGGTTCTTTTTCGCGTCCCACAAGAATCAGAACAGTAAAAGAGCTGTGAGACGGAGCCTATGTTTTTTCGTCCTTATCCGAGAAGGTTAGAATTTCTAACCATTTGTAGATGTCACAACAAAGGCGACACATTCTCCTTAGTTATTTTAAGACTCCTGAGTGTTGCTCCGGCCGGGGTTTGAACCCACGACATCTCGCTCGGCATACCGGCGCTTAACCAACTGAGCTAACCGGGCGGCGGCCTAACTCTTTCCAGCTACGTGCGAATAAAGCATTTTGCGCTTATTACGGTCGGCTACTTGTAAATTGAGCCAAAACTGAAGCTGAAAATGATTTATTCGCGTACATTTGCTTGCCAACCCCGAGGCATATCGGCTTGTTTCAATCGGCCTTTATTTGGAATCTCTATCATGATGCTCAATTATCATTTAACTGCAGGTGCACAGATAAAATACCAATCCAACGAGCCGAGGTAGCAAAATTGGTGACAAAAGTTTCAGTGTCCTTACTGTCAGCTGTATAATAGCAGTTTATGAAAGGAAAAATGTTGACTAATTTGCTGTCGCTCTATTTTTATATGTTCATTTATTTAGAGAAAAGAAAAGGATTGTTAATCGCTGAAGTCTCAAGATAAGTCTCTCTTCAAAGCTGAAAGTACATTTTCTTCTGAAGGGGAAAGAAAGTAAAAGCAACATCAGTCTTGAAGCTTGAGTTTTTCCTGGGTGCTTTTGCGTTTGTGGGCCTTACGATGATTGGACCGGAAAACGAGAGATTGTTCGCAGTCTGTGACCTAAAACAAAACAAAAAGACTTGAACCGACGGTTTACGATGGTTCTGTTTTTAGTTCTCTACAAAGTGATTATGGTGGGGCGAGGGAAGGGAGTGGTCGACTGATTTACTTGAAGTCTGAGCGTACAGCTTAAGGCCATTGATATAAAAAGATATTAAAAGATATTTACTTTTGAATGCATTTTTGGCAGAAAAAGTGGAAATAGTTCTTATCGTGAAAACAGGTACCTGCTACGTAAAAAAGCAGCTTACATTCAACACTTTGAAAACCACTTGTTGCAACCCTGTACGGGCTACGATTGGCACAAGCAAATAGAATATAAATATTTAAATTATGGCACTCCCTTATCAGATGTACTGGATGTTGATTAAAATCCTGCAACCTGCTATAGCCTTTCAAGAATTACTACAGAAACAGTACACTTGGTTGCGATCAATATTCATTAGCGTGGAAATTAAATAATCATTTTTTATATTTATAATGCGACATATACCGCAGCGGCTTGAGAGTTTCCAAATTACTCCACTTGTTGTACGAAACGAACCATTAGCTTAATTTTCCAGCCACCTATGACAGTAGTTATCTTAAATTAGAAAGAAGAGCCTGACTGGAGCCATCGAAGAGAAACGAAATAGCGCGGTACGCAGCCTGATCAGGAGTTGAACTGAACAAGCTACTAGCTTGGATATTTGTAAAAGGCCAAGCAGTTGCTATGGGATTTGTAGCGGTTTGCATTGTGGTTTTAGGAGTCATTGGGATGTTTGTTACAGCAGGCTTGAGTTGGATAGTATCCTGGTATCCTTTATAGCAAAGTTCAACCCCTGAAACTGGACAAGAAATTCTGGAAACTCGATTTACATGGAATGGACTTATAGAAACGTAGAGCAGACACACTATCTTCCATTTAAAAGTTGTCTTTGCTCTACAACTATCGTTGACTGACATTCATTATATCAGATCATTTTCTCTGGTTTTATATTGTCGCTAGGGGTGACTTTGGTTACATTACATCTTGCTGTAGAGAAAGCTCAAAGTTTATCCTTTACAAACCATTATCCGTAAGGAAATGCCTGACAGCAGTGTTAAACAACGAGACGAAAGTGAAGAATAAACATTCCGGATTTGAAACCTCTAAGGATTTTAAAATGGTTGGAGATACGCTAGATTTAAGACATTTTGTTACAGAAATGTACCGCACAACCAAAGACGATTTTATCGTTCCAAGGTTTCACAACGAACTTGATTTCAAAAGCCATGATTTTTAAGAACCATGCAGAGGTATTCAGAACTAAGGAACAATGAAAATGATACTACAATGATAAGGGCTCCTTTGTTGTGTGATCCGTGAAGATTAAAACCGTTTTCAAAAATGTTTCGTATCTGAATGTGTTATAGTTCTGTGCCGTCAGTTTTATTGCCAGGCCACCTGTTGAATAAAACTGAAGGGTTTGTAAATCTGGCCGACGTTTCTGACTCTAGTTACATGTGGTTATTTGGCAGATAGGGCCACATCTTAACATTAACAAACTTTCTTTGCTTGAATTTCTCCTGTGTAGCCGTGATCCAGGTGTAATATACCAAAATTCAGACTTAATTTTACTTTAACCAGAAACTCTCTCTTTATGCTCTCTGGTGACAGGCGATCTCCAGTATTTAGTCCCAGTTTGGTGCAAACTGCCTAGGTATTTCAGGAATCTCAGGATGAGTCTATCTCAAAGAGAATCTTCATTCTCTCATTGGAAAACACCAGTTGGATTACACATGCCGAAACGCCACACGCGTAATACACCTAGTTGAAGTTATCATGTAGGAATGTCATATTAGCTGCGGTAGTCGGAAGAGGGCTGGATTGCAGAGAGGTCAGAGTTCCGATTTTGGCGTCACCAGCCAGGCTTCTCGGGAGCGCTAACGCACTCGGTTTCAAGCCTCACCTCCTTTCTCTCCTGTCTGGAATTGCTCTGGGGATGAGGCTGCAAAGCTGGAGGTCGCAG